AGATTGTCCTGGACATGCAGATTATGTTAAAGTGAGCCATGAAATTAATTTATGTGTTCAGAATATAGATTAATTGATTTTTTTCCCAATATTTGGTTGTCAAGGATGCTATAGGTGGTACTTATATTATTCCTAGATGATTTTGCTCTTTTCTATTCAGCTTTAGAGTGAAGTCTACTATTAGCAAGCTGCTTACAGACTGAAAAGTGCAACTATTAAAGCTTTAGAAATTTTCTCTGCTTCCACCATCATTTAATTTCCATAGCAGTAAGTTTGGTTGTTATACCATGTAAGACCTGTGTAGTATCTGCCTGAATCATGATTTGATGGGCATAATATGCTTTTTTAAATAGAACAGTTATGAAAGAACATAAAAAGATTGAAGTGAAGAACGGAGATAGCTATCCTCAAGAACACAATTAAGCACATTTTTTTAATTACAAAATTCTTTCACGTAACAAACAATTGGAAAAACAAAGGTGCAATGAGATAAATGTTTTCTTTGCCTTTTTTTTTGTCAGAACATGATTACTGGAGCTGCGCAAATGGATGGAGGAATCCTAGTTGTATCTGCTCCTGACGGGCCAATGCCCCAGACAAAGGAACATATTCTGCTTGCACGGCAGGTCAGTGTCTCCTTTATATATTTTTAACAAGTGTGAGAGACTAAGCTGATGTCCAGTTTAGTAACTTAATGTGTTCTTTATGGTTTTCAGGTAGGTGTACCGTATATTGTATGCTTCTTGAATAAGGTCGATGCAGTTGATGATCCTGAATTGCTGGAACTTGTGGAAATGGAACTCCGTGGTAAGCTGGTTTTCCGTTTGAAAGCATTGATGAATGTTTGAAGCTTGAATAGTTAATACCACAAGCACAAGTTTCATTTGGAAGTGTATTACATGTGTGCTTTCTCATTTTTGTAGAACTACTTAGCTTCTACAAGTTTCCTGGGGAGGAAATTCCGATCATTAGAGGTTCAGCATTGTCTGCTTTACAGGGTACAAATGATGAAATTGGTAAGAAGGCTATACTAAAGTTGATGGATGAAGTGGATCGATACATCCCTAATCCTGTACGTCAACTTGATAAGCCTTTCCTAATGCCAATAGAAGATGTTTTCTCCATCCAGGTAAATACGAGTTACTTTCCATTATGAAAGTATGAAATTTTTGTTATCCTATGTTCCAGGTATTTTAAGTACATCACTATCAGTTTATTTTTGTTGGTGAATTGCATTTCTCTTTATTCGGTGGTAAATGTCTGTTAGACAGCAGTGTGTTTGTTTCACTTTCCTTTGAAACTTACTAGTGCCCTCCTTGAACTGAAGAGCCTGTTTATGTTGTGCATTCAAATCATGAGTGCATCAGATGGATACTGAAACGCTCATTCCTTTCCTTGTTTACTGGCCGTATATGGCTCTTAGCTATGTATGGAATTATTCTTTTGCTGCATTTGGAGGAATTGTTAATGCCAGGAGGCATAGTTCTCATGGTGTTTTGATTGGTTCTGGTTATTTGTCAGGGACGAGGTACTGTTGCGACTGGCCGTATTGAACAAGGTACAATCAAAGTTGGGGATGAAGTGGAGATTATGGGGCTGATGCAGGTAATGTGTATCGTGAAATTATCATTCTTGGTTTTATCTTGGGAAGCTTCCTAGTCATTTATTATATTGTCATTAAACTTTTCAATTGGGACTGACAGTGTCAATATTTTCACTGCTTCAGTGGTTTTTGGCGACTATTATGCTATGGTTCTTTGATGTGGTGGATTATTGTACTTTTTCACTCTTTATGGAATCAATAGATCTTATGGTCAACATTACATTTTGTTGAAATGTTGTCCTATATTTTGTTATCGGGGTAAAGTTAATTTTCAGAATCTGGATGGAGAGGGTTGAGTTTTAAACTATACTTTTATAATTTACTAGTCATACAAGTCTAGATGTACAGGTGGGTGTGCTTGAAGTCTAAACTTAATCCTTCATTACCACTAATCTTTGGAAGGAATTACATGCTCCATATTGGTCTGTTTTGTTTCTTGGACTTCACAAACTATAGTAACATATGGTGTATGCACTTGGTCAAACCAGATGAACCTTTGTATGAAATTTTGCCTCCACGAGTCGCAATAACCAACTGTTATTTGTAATTTATGCTCATGATATAAGTCCTGGTGGTACAGGGAAATCTGAAATCCACTGTGACTGGTGTTGAGATGTTCAAAAAGATCTTGGATCATGGACAAGTAAGGGACTAAAATGCTCTGTCTTGTATTATACACATACATTTTATGCCTTACAGCACTGTTTTCTTTCTTTGCCAGGCTGGTGACAATGTTGGACTCCTTTTACGTGGTTTGAAACGAGAAGATATTCAGCGAGGGCAGGTTTGTGTCATGAAAAAAGGCTAGTGCAGAAGCAGATTTACTGCTAGTTAATAACTTGAGATGAATATCTTGTGTAAATTTGTTACATGTTGTAGGTTGCTTGTCATTTGTTAAATTTAAAGTTACTACCTTTTGTCCTGTTTTAGCTCGTTGATAACTATTTCCTCTATATTTTATCTTTAGATGACATGAGCTTTCCTGTCTTCTAATTCTTGATAACTAGAAGAATGGGTTATTGAGGGAGGTGGGCATTTAGAGTGGTACCATGATCTATGGTGCTAGAGCTTAATTGTGAATCCGAATAATTAAACCAAATTTTGTTCCATGTCTTTTATATTGTTAATCATACAGGTTATTGCAAAGCCTGGGACAGTTAAAACATATAAGAAATTTGAGGCAGAAATATACGTTCTCACAAAGGATGAGGGTGGTCGCCACACTGCCTTTTTCTCAAATTATAGGCCTCAGTTCTACTTGAGGACTGCTGATGTCACTGGTAAGGTGGAGTTGCCTGAAAATGTGAAGATGGTTATGCCGGGGGACAATGTAACTGCTGTTTTTGAGCTAATTTCTCCTGTCCCCCTGGAAGCAGGTTAGAACAACCAATATGCTTATTCTAATGTTTTTAAATTTTAGCTGATTCTCTTCTAGTATGATGATTTTGCCTTCCAGTGTCATGTTATCTTCATTGCTATGCCTTTTTGCAAATGTGGCTACATGAGTTCGACTTCTACATTGTGCTTTGTCAGCATGCATTAACTTAAGTTATTTACTTTTCCATGCCTTCACTCTGAGGTTTTTTCATATCTCTAAAAATCTTTGTTTGGCACGGACTCCCTTCAGGAGGCAGCTTTTATTAATATCAGTTGCAATTGTTTTTCTTTTCATGGTGACAGAAATTATGTGGTTTTGCAATTCACATATATGAGCAAGCATATATGCTATGCAAAGATGAATTGTAATTGGAGGGAAGGCTTTGATTTAGGTTGAAAAATGTAATTTTCTCCTTTTGCTAAATGCTACCATAACAGCACAGTGGTAGAGCCTGCCCCTAATGATTTCAAATCATTATGCCTGGGCTTTGAGGGCTCTCAGCCACATGAATAGTTCATTGTTCTTATTGGAATTCTAAAAATTCCTTAAGTAGAGAATGCTGTAAAAATAAATGGGCCATGGGAGACTTTTGAAGTATTGTAAAATAAATGGACCTGCTAATACCTTTATGATTTTGTCACTACTGAATACTGCCCTTGTCTGGACGTCTTCTGATCCATTAGTTTTCATGTTATCTCAGCTTTTCATAATTCAGGCTATAGTGGTAATTAGGTAATGTGAAACTTTCTCAAGTGGCCAGAAAAGTATTTTACAGAGCTAATCTAATCAATCGATTGTTGCAGGTCAAAGATTTGCTTTGAGGGAAGGAGGGAGAACAGTTGGTGCTGGTGTTGTTTCAAAAGTACTGACCTGAGGTATGCATGCAATGGAACTTTTATGTCCTTTGAAGAGGATGAAACTGAAACTCTGGTTGATATATTTTGAGAAACCTGACATCTTGGTCAGTGCATATGTAGACGCGTTTTTCTTGGCTATGTGAAAACGACTGAGCAGAGATGAACGTGATTATACCTTTTCAAAGGCTCCACCATTTGTGGTTCTGGCTTATTGGTCAACATAGTTGTGATTGCTTTGAAATGTGATTGTCCGTATCATTAATGAGCAATTTTCTTTTCAAACAGTACTCATGGTCCTCGAGCAGCCGGGAGGATTGTTAATGCCGTCGTGTACTGCGTGCAATGATGGCATGTGTCGATTGAAAAGTTAAATGCGTGGGTGTTCTACAAACTATCCTATGAAGGGTGAAAACTGAATTTTTAATTTATTAAGTTATTAAATTATTAACTACTAAATTCGATATATTTCAATGTATATCAGATTAAGTGATAAGTAAATAGGTTATTATTTATTTTTGGGAATAAATTTTGTAGAGGAAATTTAGTGCTGTTTAATTAATTTAGATGTTCAATTTTATAATATTGAATGCTATTAAATATATTAAAGTTTGAATTCATTAAGTTTAAATATTCAATTATCCTAAAAGGCCTCTATGTCGTCAACGAGGGACCAAGACACCAAACCGCATATGGAGGCCCCTGTGTCAACCAACAAGGACCAAACTGTACAATGATATGCATGGTACAGCAGTAGGCTCCTAATTTCTAATCCATTTTTGGCCAAGAGGTAGCGTGGCCAATGAAGTAGCATAATGATTTTGGACTCTAATGAAGTAGCACAATGATTTTTTACTTGAGGACTTCGGTGTGTACAAAATCTTTAGCATTTATTTATAAAAGGGTTATTATCACCTAATTTTTTTTAAAGGGTTATTATCACCTAATTTTTTTTTAAATCATACCACTGCTGTCAATTTACTCTCTACTCTTATCTTCTAGTCATTTTATCTTCGTAGCTTATTCAATTCAGCATATTAACAAATTTTAGATAACAATACCTTTTTACTTTATAGCATTATTACTTTATCCCTTTTTAACTTATATGTTCTAAAAGAAAAGTTGGCCATAGATTGTAAATAGTGAAACAGATATTACAACCTTTCAGTTAAATTTTTTTCTTCAAAAAAGGGACTTAGTCTTCTGATCTTCAAACGAGTATTCAATTATCCATTCCCTTGCGAGACAAGACATACTATTACAACTGTCAAAATAAGAAGCAACTACGCATCCAAAATCTTGAAAGCCAGGATAGACGAGGAGCCCAAAAAGTTCCATATACATGATGCAATGTCCTTTTCCCTAGTGTTACACATGACGAGCAAACTGCAAAATTTAGTTGAATGATTAGATGCGGATTTACATTGTTTCAGGTAAAGAGCAACGAAGTTGGTCCCTGCTAATTCCTTCGATAAACTGGACTGACTGGACTTCTAAGAACTTCCAAATCGAACTCATACGAGCCTAAGAACAGCCACGGTCATTATAGCAGCAGCTCGGAAGTATATGTCCTTTAAGCTTTTGTCCAACTTATTCATAATCTCCTCCTCTCTCACATCCAACTTGTTTGAATTCTTGATCGAAATAACAGTGTCTCCCAATCTATTTACCGCCCAAGAAAGCCAAACAAGTCCAATACCCAACCCGGTGTTCAGGAGTTTGGATGCACTGAAGGGCACCCTAGCACAGGCTACTTTGCAGACAACTGAAAAGAGAACAGCAAGACCAGTTCCAGCAATGCTAGCAGAAAACTGTGTGAGAGCCTTTGGCAGTTCGGGACCTGATTTTTTAAGTGAAAGGATTGCAGTTCTCCCATGTAGCTTCTTGTCAACGGTCAACGAGAGAAGGCTTTCGCATGCATGGAACAAGTTCTTTCTGTAAAGGTCCCGCTCTTTTGCAGCTTTCATATTGCTCTTTTTATTCGAAGTCGCCCTATACTTACCTTTCTCAGAACTATGAAACCATAAGATGTCAGAGAGAGAAACCAATATATAATTGCGCAGGGTCAGGCCCACGCTCATTTAGGCTAATAAAATCAACACTACCTCCTAAGAATGAAATAGTGAAGTTACGATTTTCAACTAGAAATAACACACCTTCTGCGGCATGTTTTTACTTCCTAGAAGACCTACAGGCAGCCCAAATGCAAATATTTACATTTACGTTTAGTGTAGTTTCATATATATGCATAATCATATGTTTCATGAAATGATGCACATTGCATGTGAGCAGAAAATGAAGTGCATGACATCACGATAATAGATATTTACTACAATTCATAGTGGTCAAACTTTCAAGAATCTCAGATTTTTAGTGGAGCTATTGGAGTATGCTCTTACTGGGATTTGTCTTGATTGACATTCTGGACTAACAGGAAATAGTCTGAAATGGAAGGGTCATCTCAAAAATGAACAAACCATCCAGACCTTCTGTTTCCTTAACTTATAGATTCTTTAGTGTAAAAACCTGAAGCACTGGAACAGTTAACTACTAGTAAAGGCTTAATGACCAATGGATTATGACACGCATTCAGGACAAAGCATCGATTGCAAGCTGTATGCCAACATGTGATACTACTTGTAATTTATTCTGATTGCACAAGTAATACTGTTGAACTGAAGACTTAGAATTTACATAAAAAGGTACTATTGATAAATTTTTGCAGTCTGTAATAGGTTTTTTTGATTATATATGAGATGTATTCTCGTGAATTTGGTGGTTACTGAAGTTTCTCTCACATCAGAACTAATTTGTCATTTCCATTTCACAAACTTTGGCCTCAATTAACACATTTAGTTTCATATCGTTAACACAAATTAACACAAAAACCAGAAAATAAAAAAAGTGAAAGCAAAGTGCACAACTTTGAATGGCTAACGCATAAAACTACCTCTTCACAGTTCCAAACTTTGGAGGTGATCCAGTAATATCATTCCTTGGTGCTTTTCTGGTCCGCCTGTTCCATAAGTTGATTGTGGCACAGGTCATAAATTACAAGCAAGAATATGGGCAATTTGTAAAACTCCAGTAGGAAGATGCAATAAAGTAGATTAAGGGGGGAAAAGGAAAAAACTCACTAAATTGTCAACATGTCTCTAGAATGATAATAAAGTTTGCAGAATATCAGAACACTAATGTCCTATAGAAAAACTTAGTTACGAAGTAAAAGCAGCTATTGGTACCTATCAAAGTAAGGGACCACCATTTGTTGCTTCTTCAACTTAATCGAGTTCTTTGACAAGTACAACTTAGAAAGAGCAGTAAGTATATCCTCCATCTCAGTCCCAGAGCTGGCAATTGAAAGTCGGTCATCAGGATGATACGGGTCATAAGTAATTTCTGAAACATGGCCCACATCCCCCGCAAAGAGAGGTTTCTCAGACAAAGTTTCACTACTTAGTGAGACTAGAGAAGGCTGAGCCTCGGAATCAAGAAAGGTCCGCCCATAAAAAGGTAAGAGGGGTTCTTGAGGCATATGCAGGGTTGGTGCTTGAGGTCCCACCAAATCATAGAATAAAGTTAAATCTACACCACCTCTTTCTTCTTCATTTAGTCCAGACATGAGGTATCTCAGGACCCTCTCACGTATGATGCATTGATTGACAATCCCCGAGCTGAAGAATAGAGAGTTGGCAGGAAGGTCTGTTGTCAAACAACACAATGATACAGATCTAATTAAGCACCACACAACTGCAAAGGCTGCCAAATCTAATCAAGTGCATGATATGGGAGTAACATGTTTAATCAAACTATTGGCTGAATTACAAAGATAATCATGCATTAAAAGGCACCGGTTTTTGCCAGGGAATTTAGTACAGTACAGTGCATGAGTCCGTCCCGCATGTACTTAGAGGAATAGCACTGCTGTTTATAATGTTCAATAGAGACACATACGACAGGTTAAGCAAGGCTGAAGAAGATAATGCGATAGTGAATAGTATACCTTGAACATCAATGAGTAGAGGTCTTCGAGGAGTTGAGTCAGCCCTGAAGTATTCATTACTGTCCAACATGCCAGTCGATGGTTTTGATTGATCCTCTGTCCAACACAGCCTTGGTTTGTCATACCATGGCTGCAAAGAACCCTGATAGGATCCAGTGTTTGTCAGGAAAGGTTGATAACCCTGTGAAGAAATCAGCAGACCAAATCAATAATCCGCTTTTGCTGCATCAATAGTCACTACAACATAATCTGATTGTCATCAAATACAGATACTGTTAATCTGCAAGATTTAGACCTATACAAATTTCAATCCGGGCTCACAGATGTTTATGGGTGGCAATAGTGGTATAAAAACAATACAGGAAGGAAATTTGTAAGTGATAAGCACCTCTTATCCACTTGACAACTAACAGCGTAGCAACCTACAATAAACCAAAAATGTTGAACATGTTGAAACTAGTAATCAAGTCCAGCACTGGGAAGGGAGCTCAGTGAGTTGAATTTGAGCTGCAATAAAGCAGACTTTAAACATGAATTGCAAATCAGCAGTTCTCCAAAAACCCATAGGTACTCAATAACAGTAAAAGAACATTATGAGAAAAACCAGCAAAATCATAATAGGCCAAATAAGAGTAGGAATGAATATGATTTTAAACATAAATTGCAAGCCACCCACTGGCCAAAATTGGATGCCTGCAGATTCACCGGCAAACAGGAAAACGGGCTTCAACCCAACAATCAACATCCAAAAGGAACCACCCTTTAGCGTTAAACACAACACACTCAACCACCAGATATCAATCTGTATTCCCAATTCCCATCTTTTTAGCCATCTGGAATTACACATAGTATATATGTATAATCAAAATATCAAGAAGAAAGCAAGAAGGGGGGAAATTTTGAGTAGAGGATGATAGGCTTACCTTAAAGACCCTGCCTAAGCATCCTTGTTCAGTTGGATGGACAAATAGCCCGGGATGGGAGCCATGTGAAGCCACCAAGCAAAGCTCTGCCATTCCTCAGAAACACCCACAGTATTCGGGAACCCTTCTTCTTCTCTTTCCAATAGCTTCTGATATCAAAGTCTCTGCCTTTTTGCTTTGGATTGCTCTGTCCCTCCCTGGGGTCTTAACAATCCTATCTTGGACTCATCCTCCCTCGCACTCTCGCAGGAGAACCTGAACCTGTGACCCAAAATGGCTCATGTGGGGGCAGCGGAAACTGTTGCCAGGTTGGATTCTGAGTCCACACAAAAAAAAAAAAAAAAAAAAGGATCCAATTTGTTTTTTTTCTCCCTTTGTTGGATTAACGATTACCGCTCGATGACTTTCCTTTGGGGGGTCCAGTTACGTTTAAGACAAATGCAGGTAGAAAATAGGGCTCACACTTGCTAGACCTATGTTCAAAAATACAGTAACTCAAATTGTGGCAAGTTATCTCATCGAGTGGTGCAGCACAATTTACAGTATTGGATATAATTTATACAGGATCATCAAAAAATCATCACAATTAGAGTGTTTTGCAATAGTCCTTCCTTGTTCTTGCTTGAATATTTTTTATTTAATTTTTCATAATAATTAATAATATATATTTTGATTTTCAAATTAGATCAATCATCATTATTTTAACTATAAATTTGTTGGAACAAAAAAAAAAAAAAAAAGGCTCGGCTCGACTCGGTACTGACTGGGCTAGGCCATGTCAATGAGAAGGGCCTTTCAAACAAAATCAATGCAAGGGGATGAAAATCATGTTTACTCAAATTTTGGCCATAAAGTAGAAACTAAACACTCCTGTTCTTTATTATTCTATCATGGATTTTTACTACAGCACCCGCATTTGGCTTCTCACGCAAAAGCTTGATATTTAATGTGATTATTATAGGTTACCTTTTGGACAGCATTTCCAATTTAATAAATTAGTTATATCACATAGGCCATTCATATTCCTTGTTTGATTTTGATGAGTATAAACTAAATCAAAATTAGTTTTGAGTTATCGTACAATATCTATAAAATAATAAAGCATATGTGGAGTTATTTTGGTATTAACTTTATCCGTTAATCCTTAATTACCAAAATAACTACTAATTGGCATAATTACCTGAATAACTATCAATTCGTAAAAAAAATTTATAAATATTAATTTATTCTAAAATTGCACACACATGAGGGCGCCTTTAACGCTGTTTTAAAAACTTATTATTTGAAAAATTTTACTGTAATTTACTATAGAAGTTTTTAAAAAAAAATTTAAAGTATGTAAATTTTTGAATATTTTGAAGTGTATAGTTTAAAAATTTTAAAAAGTTTTTTGAGGTCACTGCAATCAAAGTTTTTAAAAAACTTGTAGCAAACAAATTTGACAAAAAACTCAAGTGCTAAACAGCGCCTCTATCACCTGACAAACACATAATCATTTGTTTAGCGGCAAAAAAGTTAGATTCCATTTGTATTTAAACAAAAAAATTGATTCATATTTATTTTTACCTCTAAAAGAAGTTTTGACCCAAATCATATTCTTTTTTTTTTCAAAAAAAGTCGAATCTTACCTGGTCTACATTCAATTTTGTCACTAAAAGAGTGGGATCTAATCATTTTTTATATAAACAATAATTTCCAGCTAAATAAATATTAAAATTTTAGATTAAAACCACATTTTACTAAATTGAGTTTTTAAAGGACATAAAGTTAACATTGATGATCAGGCCGGCGGCGATCACTCCTACTGGCTTCGTCTACGGAGATGGACTGATGGACGCATTCGGTCATCTCTCCCGCGAGATTAACTTCCCACCAGAGTCGTGAGATGATGATGCACGTTTTCAATGGAAAACTCGTAGGTTTCGTTTTGCTTTTGACTAGAGGGAGGTTGAAAAGCATGTCGGCGGCTGAGAGCGACCAATCACCGGCATCCCAGCAGTCACCAGGATTGAGGCCGCAATACGTTCTATCATACACCTACCTGTACCTGATCTCACTCGTCGAGTTGATAAGTCAATAATTTCCCGACAGCTTTCATCTATCTATAATTCAATATATATATGTATAGATTCTCCCACTTGCCAGCTTATCAACGGTTCTTATTTCCTTCTCCCATTTCCCCTTTCTCTTTGTTTTTTACTGCCTCTGTCTCTCTGTCTCTCTCTCTCTCTCTCTCTCTCCGTCCTCCCAGCGAGAGAGCCGAGAAAGTCCATTTCGTCTTCCAAACTGAGCCGAGTCTCTCTCTAATTCCTTCCTTCCTCTTCAATTGAAATTGCAGATTTTTAGTCAACGTAACATATCCTAGATTTCCTCACCCAATTTTGCAGATTAAAACCTCAATCAGTAATTCTCACTCCTCATTTCATCCTGATTGCCCTTCAAAACCCTAGATCTAATTTCAATTCTTCCAAATTCCACCCGAATTTTATATTGCCTGCTAATTCTACGAGTAATTTGCGCGCATGGTGGGGATGGGAAGGGTTTACAATGGAGAAACCTCCAACCCGTCGTCTTCCACAACGGCGTCAACATCGCCGCCGCCGGTGACGACGTCGACGTCGATCACGGAGACTGTGAATGGAACGCACGATTTTAAGATCACGGGGTATTCCTTGTCCAAGGGAATTGGGATTGGCAAGTACGTAGCGTCTGATATTTTCATGGTGGGAGGCTATGCGTGGGCGATCTATTTCTATCCTGATGGGAAAAGCGTGGAGGACAATGCGACGTATGTTTCCTTGTTTATTGCGCTAGCCAGCGAGGGAACGGACGTTAGAGCGCTGTTTGAACTGACGCTTATGGATCAGAGCGGGAGAGGGAGGCATAAGATTCATAGCCATTTCGGAAGGGCTTTAGAGAGTGGGCCTTACACGTTAAAATACCGCGGAAGCATGTGGTTAGTTTTGGTTATTTTTAATTAAGTGCCTCTTGTATTCATACTCATTTATTCTCATGGAATGTTGTGCATTTGCTTGTTAATTGGACAGAGCCTGTGTTTTTGGTTGCATCTAATTGCTGGGATTTCATGGCTTCTCTCACCCTTTATCCCAAAATTAATTTGTTAAGGGAAAAGGTGGTGGTCACCTCATACTAACTGTAGCTGATGATTTGATCAATTTTTTTTGATCTGACTGTGTTTGATTGAATATTCTTCCCCAACTTGAAAGTAGTAAATGTGATGATTTTGTATTTCGTGGGAGGAGTCTGAGGCCTGACATTATTAACTCTACCGGGAAATGACAGACATTTACGTAATAGCTTTTAAATGCGTAAGGTCTGTGTATTAGTACTGACCCAAAAAATGTTTCCCAAGTCCATTTCAGAGGGTTTGGTTTCTTCTTTTTATTTATTTGTAAACATTTGGCATTAACATGATAGGTTGACTCTGTGATTTTGAAGAACAAAATACGTGCTTTCCTTTGTTTTTTTGTTTAAACCTCCTTTGGCTCTTTGGGCAACTGCTTGCTACTAATTTCCACTCAGACTGTTATTGCAGTAGTAGGTTTTGGATTTCTTTAGCTCACTGCCAATCTAATGCTGTTGTACGGCACGATCACAATAACATTGTGCCATGGCAATTTGTTTTCCAAAGCATAAGCACTACTCTGTCTCCACTTGGATCGTATATTGGTCGATTCATCATCCTTTCTAGTTCCATTTGAAACACATCCTAGCTCTCCATGAAATGCTTATCTGATAGACATGCTGAAGAGTAGCCGTCGAAAGTTTGACATTAATGGGACCGCTTTGCCATTGAATTTGAGGCACTATAATGCGACTAGATGATGAAACTAATGTGTGATCATTTTTGGTAATTACACAAATTTTAGGACTGCGGGAATAGGACAAATTGATACTTGGATGGGTGTATGATTGTGTTAGTTTGTCTGTGGCTCCTACTCATGTCAATGGTTCTGCTTGGGTTTTAGTCTGAGCTATGTATGATCTTCATTATCAGCTCACACATGATGAAGCGCCTTGTTCTTGATTCCAATATTATATAAACAGAAGTATGTTAGTAGTTGTTTAACTGTCATTGCATGGGGAAGAGATATCATGTTTGCTTTGTCATGATTCTACTTTCAAAGAACTGTGGCACGTCTTCTCTTATGATGGGGCTAGTGATGAATGATTCTGATGTTTTAAGAGTTGGAGTCTGTTGGCTGCATGGGATAGAACTCTCATGGTTTCATTTTTAAAGTTAATCAATTTGGTTCTAGAATCCTCCTCCATAGCTTTTATTCTGTTTGTTTATCTCTCTTTTTTTCTTGGGTATGACTGGTAAATTGCTTTTGGTTTAATCATTTAATGGTTTTTTTATTGTAGGGGCTATAAGCGGTTTTTTAAGAGAACTGCACTAGAAACATCAGACTATCTGAAGAATGATTGTCTTCAGGTTCATTGTTGTGTTGGTGTAGTTAGATCCCAAACTGAGGGACCCAAAATCTACTCTATACCGCTTCCACCTTCGGACATTGGTCAACATTTTGGGCAGCTACTGGAATGTGGAAAGGGAACTGATGTAAATTTTGAAGTCAATGGAGAAAAATTTTCTGCTCACAAGTTGGTTCTTGCTGCGCGCTCACCTGTATTTAGAGCTCAACTATTTGGCCCAATGAAAGATCATGACACACAATGTATTCGAGTTGAAGACATGGAAGCTCCTGTTTTTAAGGTCTAGTGCCTATAATTCTTCATTGTATTTTAACTCATTCTTTTGACAGGAAATCATTTGTCACCAAGATTTTTTTCTATTCGTCTACATGGTACTTTAAATATATTGTACCTTCTTTTAAAGAAAGAGGCCTCCTTTTGTGTTTGATTCCCAATGCAATGTCTTCTCTCTTTCAACCAGAACTTAGATTTGTGAAAGAACAGGCTTATGATAGCCCGCCTATCATTATCCTGTTGTAATTTGTACAATTTGCCAAAGTTTATTTTGTTTGGTAAATGTATGGTGATAATTTGGTTGTTCTATTTATACAATGCTAATAAGAAAATCTCTGGAGCAATATTTTCTCTTGAATTTTGCTACCGCGATCCCTACCCAAATCAGGTTTTCGGAGGTCTGAATCATCATAAAACTCTGCCATCCATTGATGATGGAGAGTTATCTTATTTGATGCTTAACTTTATCTGATGTTTCCATGCTTTTCTGTCAAATACGAACTTCTAATGATGTATGTATT